GTTTATTTCCTACATGGCATGTGATTTTTTTCTAAAACACCCAAAGCATTGTTGGTGCTCTTCGTTGAATTTTTTTTCTCGAGTTACATGATTGGATATGAAATAACTCAATCGATCATAACCGATTAAGACCGATTATAACTCATATCTAATCACGTCTTTAGCAAATCGTTTCTCATAGTAAAGTGACTCGATCAACCAGGGCAACACAGAATCTCGTAAGCCCGTCGATACCAATTAAAATCCCCAGAAAAATACATCAAAGGGTTGAAAAGGGGTAAAAGAAACGAAAACAAAACGAGAAAAAAAGAGATCGAATGGTTTCTTCTCAAGCTATGGAGGTTTTGATGAGTGAGCTCCCGGTGGAGCAGGAGAATCTTGTTCTCTCCGGTGCGCACAAGTCCGGTTTGGTGCTTGTTGACGTCGTCAACGGTTTCTGCACTGTTGGTTCCGGCAATCTGGTAATGCCGCCCAATATTGGGGTTGTCTGAGTTTATTTGTTTTGTTAAGGTGCAATGGTGACTTTTTTTCGCATTGATTTATGTTTGCAAGGTGTTTGATGAAGCTTTGTTTTGTATGGGTCTGTTTGCTTAGCTGTGGTACTATGGTTCGGCATGTTTGATTCTCACTCTGGACTAATTAAATTTGTATAAATTACGCGATTTGGCCATCAAATTCTTGTTAACAAATCAGTTTCGGAAACAGGCCCCACGAGCACCTGACACACAAATTGCTCGGATGGTTGAGGAATCAGTAAAACTCGCCCGTGAGTTCCGTAAGCATGGTTGGCCGATATATGGCTTGCTCGACTCTCATCATCCGGACATTCCAGAACCACCTTATCCTCCTCATTGTATTATCGGAACAGAGGAGTCGAGGCTGGTCCCTTGTAAGAAATAATTCATCGACTATTTGTTTTAAGTAAAATTTCCCTTTTTTTTTTTATCTGTATGTATGTGTATATATATGCTCATGTTAGTTTATTTCTTTTGCAGCTCTACTGTGGCTGGAAAATGAACCGAATGTGACGCTTAGGTGCAAGGACTGTATCGATGGATTTCTTGGTTCGTTTGATAAAGATGGGTCAAATGTCTTTGTGGACTGGGTCAAAGCCAACGAGCTTAAAGCTGTGAGTAATTTTATGAAATTACTTCTCTTGTTCCTCTAAGATAGACGCGTTTGTACATTTTTCACAAACTGCGATGCGGGTTTTTTCTGAGCAAGCCACTTTCTTTCCTCAAGATATTGGTTGTAGGGATTTGCACAGACATATGTGTCCTAGATTTTGTGTGCTCAACATTGTCTGCAAGAAATCGTGGTTTGCTATCTCCCCTCGAGGATGTAATTGTGTACTCTCATGGTTGTGCTACCTATGATCTTCCTCTACATGTTGCCCAGAATATCAAAAACACTCTAGCCCATCCTCAGGTTTTTTTCTATCTCACTTGCTTTCCAGTAACCCATAATTGTTGATTACAAGAACGAGTGTCGTACTTGTTTAGCCTCAAATCTTGCGGCCAAAACATGTAAAATGTGAATGTATGTACATTATTTTTATAGTAGACCTTGAAAGCTTGGTTGGTGTTAGTCTTGCACTTGTTTTCGTCGATTTCTTGAATTCGCTCGATTGTTTTAATCCATTGAAGATACCTAAACTTATCATCTGCAGGCTTCAGTGCATAATTTATGTCTAACTAGTTTCTTTGTGTTTTTTTCACATTGTTCTTAATATTGCCTGTCGCAGGACATAATGCATCATGTGGGACTTTACATGGCCAAAGGCAGAGGGGCAAAAGTGGTATCGGAAGTTTCGTTTGGTGCATAGCAGTTTAATCTGCTCATTGTGTATAGATTTTTGAAGTCTTGATCAGCGTTTCTGGACTGTTCGATGATATGTTTTTTCATCAATATAATAAAGTTCTCAATGTGTTATTGCTGAAGAGCATTTACTACCTTCTGTTAATTGTGTTGGTAGGACAGTGTTGCCTTCTGTTTAGAATTGCTATTGAACACTGTGTTTACATTGTATGATTGATTCAAGAAAATTAAAGTTGGGTGCTTCACAATTACTCAGAGTGTCTTTGCACAAGGATGTGTTTATTGGCAATCATTTTGTTTTTCTTTTTCTTTTTTCCCCAAATAGTAGGTCTTGTATTAGGTCAGCTTAAACATTAGGTCAGTATACTTTTTTCACAAATATACATATTTTTATTAGTAAATGTCTTACTTAAGAAAAACATCATAAACAAAAGTGTAACAAAGTATGACATTTGGTAGTAATAGGAAGATGCACGTACTGCGCACGTGATATATATAGAGGGTGGATTCAATGAGACCACTCTTTAAAATGAGTACGTGAGACCCAATCTTAGTCACTCATTTTGTCTAGATCAAAATCAATTAAAATATACGTTAATTAAATAATAAAATAATTATTAGTTGACTTCCGGCGTTGACTTCTGGCGAGAATCATTGACTTCCGGCGTTGACCCGTTGACCCTATTTATTTGAATATTTTCTTTTGCTATTTGCTGTGCTTGAATATTCACTGATAGTTGCATAGTTAGTTGTCTGTAGTTGCAAGGTTAGTATTATCTAGTTGCAATGTTATTTTTTCTGTAGTTGCAAGGTTAGTTGTTTGTTGGTGCTAGGTTAATTGTCTGTAGTTGCTAATTTAGTTGTATGTAATTGTTAGGTTAGTTATTTGTAGTTGCAAGTTTAGTTCTATCTAGTTGCAATGTTAGTTATGTCTAGTTGCAAGGTTAGTTGTCTGTAGTTGCAAATGTAGTTGTCTGTAGTTGCTAGGTTAGTTGTCTGTAGTTGCAAGGTTAGTTGTCTGTAGTTGTAAAGTTAGTTGTCTGTAGTTGTAGGGTTAGTTGTATCAAGTTGCAAGGTTAACTGTTTGCAGTTGCAAGTTTAGTTGAATGTAGTTGCAAGTTTAGTTATTTGCAGTTGCAATGTTATTTGTCTGTAGTTGCAAGTTTAATTATATGTTTTTGCAAGGTTATTTGTGTTTTAGTTGCAAGGTTAGTTGTCTGTAGTTGCAATGTTAGTTCTTTGTAGTTGCAATGTTAGTTGTATCTAGTTGCAAAGTTAGTTATCAGTTGTTGCAAGTTTAGATCTATTTAGTTGCAAGGTTAGTTCTATGTAGTTGCAAAGTTATTTATCATTAGTTGCAAGGGATTACATAAATACTTCACATAATGCATACTAGGGGTCAATGGTCAACGCCAGAGTCAACGCCGGAAGTCAATGGTCAACGTCGGAAGTCAACGGTCAATTGTCAAAATAATATTTAAATAATTAAAATAATAAAAATAAAGAATTAAATAATAAAAATAAAGAACTATTATTTAAATGAAGAGTTAAATCTTGGCTACGCACCTTGTACCAATCTAGTGGTTAGGAATGAGTCTCACGTCCTCACTTTAAATAAACGGATGCATTGTAACCAATCTATATATATATATATATATCATATTATTTTTAGTATTATGGTTATAGTTAATAATATAATATAGTTTTTTTTTTCAATTAGTTTAACAAAAAATGGTGTATTTTATTGAATAATGAAATATAGTATTTAATACTATCAATTGAACTCTATGATAAATAAAATTAAATAAAAAACATTGGGTTGAAAACCCAAAATAAAATTAATATTTTTTTAGTGAAAATATAAATGCTAAAGAAATTTATCGTCATTGATTTTGTTATTTACTGATATCTTCATGGTGCTTAAAATAATGATCAGTATTATTGTCACCATAATATAGTTTTCTAATGTCATCCTTTTGCATCATCATACTCTTTGAAAAATAACTCAAATTTTCTATAACTATAATTTATAATGATTATTTTTACTTATTGTCGATTGGAAGCTAACATACTATGTTTGAATAATTCGTTCTTAATTATTTTGATTACAGTGGTTGCAAGTTTAATTATATTTGTAAGTATAATATTTCAAACTACTTGATATATATAAATATTCCCTAGTCATAATGACATAAGAGATACATAAATATTTGAAAATGTCTTTAAAGTCGTAATTATTTCAAAAATAAAATTTACTTGAACAACTTAGAACAATAACATCTTTATTGACTAAAGATATCAATCTATCTATATATCTCTTCCGACAAATTATTGTTGCATTTTATAACACTGTCATACATCCATTATCTTCATTCACAGATTTTCAAGCCTATCCTAAATGTAAAAATGTACTAATTCCAATTTGAATGAATTATAAAATGATGATTCTTTCATATTTACTTTTATCTTAACATTATTTTTATATTTTCGTTAATATTTTATATTGTTTATTTTCCCTACTTTTGCTTAAAATAATGATCATTAATATTATAATCAAATATAGTTTTCTAATGTCATCCTTTTGCGTCATACCCTTTGAAAAATAACTCGAATTTGTTAGAACTATAATTTGTAATGATCTTTTTTTTTTTTATTGTCGATTGGAAGCTAAACATTATTATGTTTGAATAATTTGTTCTCAATTATTTTGATTATAGTGGTTGCAAGTTTAGTTATATTTGCAAGTATAATATTTCATAATACCTAGATATATATATATTTCTTCTCTAGTCATAATGACATAAGAGACAAATAAATATTTGAAAATGTCTTTAAAGTCGTAATTATTTAAAAAGAAAAATAAAAAAACCTAGCAATAATAACATCTTTATGATTAAAGATACCCAACAATCTATATATCTTGTCCAACATAAATTATTGTTGCATTTCCCAAAATTGTCATACATGCATTATCTTCTCACGGATTTTCAAGACTATCCCTAAATGTAAAAATTAATAAGTCTAGTTTTAATGAATTATAAAATGATGATTCTTTCACATTTTTTTCTCTTAACATTACTTTTATATCTTCGTCATTATTTTATATAGTTTATTTTCCCTACATTTGAGAAGTCATTTGAAACATTTAAGTTTATGAATGATTTTATAAATAAGATATGCTAACGACAACAATTTTAAAGTAAATTTACTATTTATTTTTATTTAATTAATTTTAATTATAACTATTTTCTAATAAGTACACACATTGAAATTCAAGGCTTAAAATAGGATTTTAGTTATTTTATTTTATTTAGGTAATCAATCTATTTTTGTTTATATTACAGTTTAGTAAATGCTATTTTAATTTATGTAACACATTAATGTAAAAGAACATTTATACTATACATATTATTAACATGTAACTTAAATCATATTATGCATATTATTCTAGTGAATAATTTAAACAAGTATTTTTGTGAAGATCATATCTTTTTTACTTAACAAATAACTTTTTTCAGTAGAAAGTAGACATTTTGTATGTTGAATGATTATTTTTTATTCAATCATTCTTAAACATATGCATGTTCACTAAATTGTTCCTCTTTAATTTTGTTTAATACTATATCCAAAAATTTGTATGGTAAACCATACGATGTTTGGAAATTTAAGATGATACTTTTAGTGGTGCATTATATATTTTACACTTATAATATATCATATATTTTATTTAAAAAATATTAAAACAATTTTTCTCTTACATTTTAAAACTACCTTTAAAATAAGCAAATTGAAACTTAACGTCGTATGTAGATTAATTTAGAATAATATAATTAAGAATAAATTTTTATTTAAAATATATGAATTTGCATAGGTAATGTTTTGTATGTGTAAGAGCTTAAAGATATAATTAAGCATAAGATTATAAAAGATAATAAATAAAAGTTTAAACTGCCTAACATTACTAAGAAAATTACATTAATAACATTAAAACTTATCTTTTTATGAGGGTATTTTTGGCAATTCAAAAGTTTCAATAAACAACTATTCCTTTTAAGAGAGTTATAGATAATTATATATTTTTTATGGAGTATGATTGGTCGATTCGACTAATGATTAGACTTCCTTGGTGAAAGTTGGGTCGTCCCCATTTGGTAGCCCAAGGAGGGCTGGTCAAAAGACTCTCTGACCTTGGTGATCATAAAATTCAAGTCCCGAGGGAGCTCGAATTCGTGAAGTAGATTGGAAATATTATTGTTTGAGTAAAAGGTAATGGGGTTTGGTTTGACCACCGTTACCAAAGAAGAGATGACCTCAGTCTTTTTGCCTTTGACTACGGTAACTTGGTCTATTTGGCGGCCAAAGAGAGGTATAGTGAAAGGGATGTTTCTGGATGATTTGATTAGGGGTTGTAAAGAAGAGGTTGAAGAAGAAGTATGGTCGGAGTTCGACATGGTCGTCAGGTATTTCTAAATAAATAGAGAAGGATGGCAGCTGCCAGAGGCTTAAGAGAAAAGCTTCAGAGTAGAAAAAGGGATGAATAAATTGAGAAAGAATTTAAGAGCACGTACCAATGAAAGTACTCATCTTTGTGGCGGGAAGAATAACCGGAGAACTAGTTGTAAAATCACAGAAAAATTGCGAAGATTACAGAGTATTTCTTGCAAAGGTGAGTTCTTGAAATGTGCAGAAGGTAGTGAAAAGATCATATTTTCGAAGCTTTATAATGACAGGGAAAGGCGCAAGGGCCGAGGTCATAGGTGTGCCATCAGATCAAAAGCCGTCTAGGTGATCTGGATTTGACCAAGGTCGATGGATTTGGCAGATGCCAAAGGTCGGCGGATTAGTGGCATTGATTTTGAAAAAGGATCGTGCAGATAAAAATAAGCATACCAAGGGTTTTTGAAACGATGTCTCTCACTGGTGCGATTATCAAGGTCGTGTGTTTCAAGGCGCTGAAGTCTGCAACGTCAGCTGGGCGCAGAAAGAGAATTCTTGCACGAGTCTAAG